CCCCTCTTAGATTGTCTCAAATTGCCCTCCATGCCAAGAGATTGAATTATGAAAGCACCAAATTTAACTTCATGTGGCCTCACCACAGGCTCAAAAGGCTCATTGTGATCTCAAGTTGGGTCTGCTTTCTTGGTGACATAAACTCCAACTATGGCTTGGGATTTCAGAGAACAAAACTATGGTTTCACCCTTGAAAGGATAATAGAGTTTATTAATGAAGGAACCAAGAGGAATGGAGGACCATATTTTAAATATAATGAAGCATCTTCTTGGGTTAGGTTTAAAAAAAATAGTGAAACTATTACAACCTCCCCAAACAGAAACGTAATGTAAGGCCTGTGCATGGAATAGTCTGACTTTAGGAATTGTATTCGCTCAGGAAATCAAGAAAAAACTGGAGTAATTTGAAAAATATGACTCATTCTTACACTTAGGATGTGAGCAGTTGAAGAATATAAAGAAAAGTAAAAATCAATTAATCTGTAGAAGGAGACAGATTTCCTTCACAGGAAAATTGAGACCTCAGATGACAGGTTGGGCTGATTTAGAAGACGACAATGGAAAGGATGACGTTTTGCACGTTACTACATCGGAAAGAATGAATTGGGCCCAGTGAAATCTAACAGAAAAAGCAAGGTAAGATTGAAGAAAGATGGCTGGAAAGACTTCCCAGAAATAGCTATAATCTAGGAAATGCCTGGGAAGTGCCCTCTTAACCCTGAAGATAAAAGGTCTGTAGTAAAGACTGCTGGGGGAACCACCCTTGTAGACTGGAACCACTGTCACCAAGGAGCTGGGCAAATCTGGATGGATATAAAGCAGAAGACTATGAATTCATGTCAAGTACTGAGTTCCAGGATGATTCGGTCATTATGGGGTGAGATGTGATAGGGCTCATGTCCTGAGAGAGTGCATATATCAGTTTATGGAATTGCTATTCATGGGACTCTATGGGAAGGAGAGTCCCATGAATAGCTGCAAAGATGAGACGAACAACAGGAGCGTGATAGAGGTCAGTAACAGACTGAGACCAGCCCTGCATTGGATGCTGGTGTGATGGAAGCTGTCTTCTAGCGGGGATGATCTGACACAGGAAACTGGGGATGGTGATGACTGGTGTACAATGGACGCTTTGGGCACACTCAAACCTCATTCATTTCCTCTAAGAGACAAAAATCAAGGGAAATGAGTACTTTTAAATGTCTGTGACAGAAACCAAAGAAAAAGGAAAAGGGAGGAAAACATTTAACTGCAGCAGTGAGTGTAAGCCCTAGATGGTTAGAGAAGGAAGTACATGCTTGGGATACAGGTTAAACTGTTAGAAACTCACTGAGCCTTCCTGAGAGGAGTAGGAGAACAGAAAAGCAAATGAGACACCAACAGCAGATCGCACCTCTATTTAAAAATGTGGAGCAGAAAGAAACGCTGTAACACACAAACTCTGGGGAAAGATGGGACTGAAGATGAGGCCCTGTGTGGCCCAGAGCACTGGGATGTCCAGGTGTGGACTCACTGGGCCAGACTTACATGGTCATGGGCCCTGGGGCACTGACTTGAGAAAATCAACCACAGCTTCAGTTGATTAATCTGCTAAAGGTTGAAACAAATGTGGATATGAAGAGAAAAATCTTCCCTAGCAATGTGCCTTGGCACTCAAATATTTACCAACTCCAACACCCATGGGAGGGCCTGAGAGCGCCCCTCAACACCTCATCATCATGGTGCTCAGCAGGACTGAGTCCACCAAGCCCTAACCCTGTCTGCTTCAGCCATCACATAAGACCAGAGCCCTGGGTCACCCTAAGCACCCAGCTCTCACCTCCCCCGTGGCGCATGAAACACTCTTTCATTCCCTTCCCTCACTCCCCATCTGGGTCTCCCCTCAGCAAACAACCCTAGTTCCTGACCCTCTTCCCTGAACAGCCCCCTCACCTTCCCACTGTGATGGGCACCTGGCTTTCTCTTGGGGACCCGGCCTCCCCTGCAAGCCTCCAGCTGGGCGTAGGGGAGAAGCAGGAGTCCTCCTCACTCCTCGCCAAAATTTCCAAATCACTGTTCCCCAACCCCTTCCTAAAACTCCCAGTTCCTGTGACTGTCATGCCGGATAAACCATGCAGTGACTCCTCCCACCCAGACTTCCCAGTTGTCCATTCTTCAGAGCTCAGCCCTGCGCTCACAGTCTTTCTGTCCACCCACTCTTCCCATCGTTATTCCTAGAGATTCCCTTCTAAACCCTGGCCTCTCAGCTCTTTGGCCTCCTCCCCTGCACTGGCCTCCTCCTCTGTCACACTGCAGCCGCCCATGCCCCTGGCTGCAGTCCTTGCAGCGACTGATGATTGCACCCCTCCATGCTCATGACTGCAAGCATTCTCATCCTTTGCCTTAGGAATTTCCATGAACATAAACATGTCATCTGTGAATAAAAATAATTTATTTCTTCCTTTCCAATCTATATGCCTCTTAGTTATTTTTCTTTTTTTACTGCCTCATTTGGAACTCCAGTACAATGTTGAACGCTTTATGTTGAACAGTACACTTTCTGCTTCCTGTGTTTCCAGATCATCCACTCTAATAACCCAGGGAGAGGAAGAGCGAGAGACGGAGGATTACCATTAACAGGAATGAAAGAGGTGACATCACTATAGATCCAAAGGCATTAAAAGATAATAAGGAAATATTATGAATGACTTTTGCCGATAAATTTGATTACTTAGATAAAACGGAAAAAAATTCTTGAGAGATCCAAATTATCAAAATGACACGAGGAAAAATAGAAAATGTGAAAATATCTATATGAACTTAAAAAAATATAACTCACAATTTAACATCTTCTTGCAATGAAGGTCCAGATGGTGAATTCTTTCAAATACTTGAGAAAGAAATTATGCCTATGCACACAAGAAAAGGAGGTAGAAACAGTTCGTTTTTATTTGTATTTTTGAGACAGAGTCTCACTCTGTCACCCAGGTTGGAGTGCAGTGGGTGATCTCTGCTCACTGCAACCTCCGCCTCCCAGGTTCAAGCGATTCTCCTGCCTTAGCTTCCTGAGTAGCTGGGAATACAGTCACGCACTACTATGCCTGGATAATGTTTTGTATTTTTAGTAAAGACGGGGTTTCACTGTGTTAGCCAGGATCGTCTCAATTTCCTGACCTCATGATCTGCCCACCGTGACCTCCCAAAGTGCTGGGATTACAGGTGTGAGCCACCGGACCTGGCCCAGTTCTTATTTTTTGAAGCCAACATTACCTTGATATATTAGAAACAGAAAAAGACAATTAATAAAACCATATGCCAATATCCATCCAAAATTCTTAATAAAATCCAAACTAGGCTAGACGCAGTGGCTCATGCCTGTAATCCCAGCATTTTGGGAGGCTAAGGGGGACTGATCACCT